CGGTGAGTTCTCCATTGGTCCTCCACTTAACGACCGCCATGGAGCCCCGCATTTCTGTCGCTACGAGAGACATTTTGCAAAGAGGCATTTCGCCCCTCTGTTACGACCTGTCTTCGGCGTTTAAGTGAATTGCTGCGACGGCCGTTCGTTCGGCGAATCCGGCGGCTTCTCCCGTGGACTTCGCTCGTCCGAAGGTCGTAAAAAGGAGGATCACGTAACTCTGGGACGTTGCAGCGGTCCTAAGGAGGAGCTCGCGGCCACGCGTCCGAATTTTGACAGCGGGGGTTGCTACGATGGTCGTTAAGTGTGGAAAAACCACCTTTTCCTTCAACTTTCAAAACCATCCATAGTTCAGCGCTGGATCACCTGCTGGTGCCCTTTCCCAATATTCCTGGCTATTCTGATCTGCAGGGAAGGCCTTTCTCCTGGGGGGGGGGGGTTTGGCTGGGAACTGCGGCAAGTCGAGGACTGCCGGTGACGGCGCTTACCAAGGTGCCGCCGGGCGCATGCCACTCAGCCCGGTGCACCACCCCGAAGCATCCGTCGCCCAGGCGCTCGCTGACGCGAAGATCCCACTCGCTGATCAAGCATTTGAGGGAGGCGTCCGTCTCCAGCCGGGGAGGGACCGGAGGCTGGGCGTTGGGGGTCTCCTCATTTTCGGGGCTTCGCACCCCTGTGAACATCTGGCAAGGATGGGGAAAAAAAAAAGAGAGAGAGAGAGAGAGAGAGAGAGAAAGGGCATCGGTGCCCGTCATTGTCAGATAGTGCTTGTTCTGACCGAAGCCTCGTTCAAATCAAAGAAACCCCAAGCATATTTATTTTATTTTTATTTATTTTATTTTGTCAAGCGATTATTAGATAACAGGTATAAGTATAAACATGGTTATGAATACATGGATACATCTAAGAAAAATAAATAAAAGAAACAATAGGACAGGGACGGTTGTGAATGAATGAATGAATTGTTTATTGGCCAAGTGTGTTTAAAGGAAAGAAGGAAGGAGAGAAAGGGAAGGGATGGAGAAAAGGAAGGAAGGAAAGAAGCAAAGAGGGAGGAAGGAAAGAGAAAGAGAAAGAGAAAGAGAAAGAAAGAAAGAAAGAAAGAAAGAAAGAAAGAAAGAAAGAAAGA